AAATGCTAAGCTAGCAATTATATATATATATATATATATATATATATATTATTAAAAAATAATTATTTATAAGATTTTAAAGTTGTTTTTTTTATGAGATACAAAAGAAAAAGATAATATTGATGTTAGAATACATAACTTGAAACAATTGTTTATATTTATGTAATTTATATTTATTGTGAATTATTATTAGTTGGTATTAACAATAATTATTATATAATGTAATATAAACATACATGATTACACTCATTAACATGTATTAATGTGAGAAGTAAAAAATATTAATGATAATTTTTTTAACCGAAAATGGGGGGAAAATTTTAAAGGTTTTATTAAATGTGTTATTAAATGCTACATGCCAGCAATTATATATATATATAGATTAGATTTTAAAAGAATCCCTGGTACTTGGATTTTATTTTAATATATATATTTTTTAAGAATCGTCAATGATCTTCAATAAAGAGATTTTTTTTATTCACCATGCTTAAACCGTAAAAATAAATAAAATTGCGGATCTCTCGTGTAGTTATTTAGGGATGTGTAGCCTCGGTAATGACAATTAACTAGTTGCAACCCGTGTATTTTCACGGAAAGCTAACCAATTTTTTTTCATTTCCACGAAAAGTTATGTGATAAAGGAAAAAAAATAAAAAAAATTGTAAACAATAGTAAAATTAATAACATAATCACTTGATAAGAGTCCAATAAACAAATCTAAATATTATTAAACACTTCCTTATATACAATGTTCGTGGTTTTGTTATCGTCAGAATCTCCATCAGCACAAATTAAAATCTTCAAGCCCCTCCGACTCGTTATTCTCGAAAGCGCCACGTATAATTGCCCATGACTAAATACAGGGCTCTTCAATAGTAAGCCGACGTGCGACAGTGACTGGCCTTGACTCTTATTGATTGTCATAGCATAGGAAACCATGAGAGGGAATTGTTTGCGCTGAAACTTGAACGGTACCCTCAAATCGGATGGTATGATTGTCAGCCTAGAAATAAGAACCTTATCACCAGCTCTGGCACCGGTTAAAATTCTGCATTCTAGGACATGGCTGCTGAGCTTAGTAATAACCAATCGAGTACCTGTTGAAATTAAAATTTGGACAACAAAAACAAATCACTCGAATTTGTACATAAAATAAAATAAAATATACATAATATATCGAATTTTAATCAACATTACCATTGCACAACCCCATGGAGTGATCAATGTTTCTGAGTAGCATCGCTGGAGTGCTAACCTTCAAGTGCAATTTATGGTTGGAAAGTCCGGAACACTTAATCCCATTGAGAAATTCAGGGGTGTGAAGATCGTGAAGATAGTCATATCCAGCATCTGACTTGCAAGCAGTGTCCGAACTCAAATAAGTTCTTCCCTCGGAGGAGTTCAATGAGCTCATGTACACATTGACGAACTCAACGACATCAAGGGTGGGAGTGAGTATAGCTCTGTCCTTCAAGTAACTAAGATCGTCGCCCGAACTCCTAAACATTGGGTACATACTGTCAACAATAGAAGCGATAGGATCACCTTTTGATTTCAGAAGAATATCGTCGGGAATGTCGATGTCAGCACATCCATCATTCGGTCCACCAGCAATACTGTCGCCAATGCTTACAAGCCACTCAGAGAAAAGCCTCAACTCATCGTACTCACTGCCCCCACCAAGGCTTCGAAGCCTCATATTCTGAGTAAGTCTCAGAACGATGCAATCTCGCCATAAGCTAGACGAATTGATGGTCGCATTCACTATGTCACTCCGAGTGCCTTTAGGCACAACAGGGAGAATCTGTCTGAAATTGCCACCAAATACAATAGACTTGCCGCCAAAAGGGAGATTTTTCCTCGATGGATCCACTACTTGCATTAAGGCTCGTAAGGTGTTGTCAACTGCCTGGAAGCAATACTTATTCATCATCGAGGCTTCGTCCCAAATGATCAACCGACATCGTACAATTAGATCGACCAATGGACTCTGCTGGCTAATGTCACATGTCGACCCTTCAGTTGGGTTTATCGGGATTCTGAAGCGTGAATGGGCAGTCCGGCCGCCGGGAAGCAAAAGTGATGCGATACCGCTTGATGAAACATTCAACACAATTTCGCCCTTCGACCTCAAACCAGAAGACAATGCCCTCCAGATATATGTTTTACCGGTGCCTCCATAACCATAAACAAAAAAGATGCGTCTGTGGCTACAGTAGTCCGAGTCCATAATTGAGTCATAAACATTGCGCTGCTCATCAGTCATGTTGGCAACCAATTGCTCATTCTCAATCGATAGTGCTTGACGATCATAATTCAACTCGTCCATCACAAGTCTGTTCGTGGATGCCTCATTACGATCGAGAACAGGAAACGGCATTGTACAATAGTCACGTAAAATCATCCCACGTCGCCGCAAAATCTTTTTGACCTCTGCCAAAGCGAGGTTCTTTATTTTCTCATCGCTCATGACCAATTCTGTAACAACGGCGAAAATCTTTTTGACCTCTGCCAAAGCGAGGTTCTTTATTTTCTCATCGCTCATGACCAATTCTGTAACAATTAAAGTACAAAAAAAATAAGTACAAAGATAAAACATATAAAAGTAAATATAATAATACATACCAAAACAAATTGAATTTGTTACCTGGATGGTGTAAAAGCCTCCGGCGATTATATAGTATGTCATCCGATAGGTAATGCCAACATGCATCCCACACAAACTCCGGTCGACCAAGAGTGTCGGAGGAAAGAAGAGTTGCAAAAAGGTCCCTCAATGAACTTGCGCTCGCCCATTGGCTTGCCTCAATAATGCCTTCTATATACTTCTTGTCGTCCTCTATCAAACCGAGGGCAAAACACGCATCGCGATACGAATCGTGTTGGATGCCATTCAACTTCATATAGTCATGATGGCATGTTGCACCTCGAACAACATTGATAAGGCACCTCAAGTAAAATATATCTCCAGCTCCGGGGGGAGGGGGAGGGGGGGACGAAGTACAATCGCGCAATCCGATCGCTTCCGTTCCTAGGCTCCCAACTCTGCGTTTCTGAATGCCACGTAAATTTAGTGGGAGCCTCAACATATGTCAGCTCTCTAGCAGTGGGATACTTCTTGTTGGCCTCCACCCAAGCCAAGAATTTACTAACGCGCTTTTTATTTTTATCAACCACTTCATCGATCGGAACTTCATCATCATAGTAGCAATGATGTTCGTTTTCAAGGTGAAAATTCAAGCGCTCCACTGATGGCCATTTGAACTGAATCTCAAACTCCAACAACCGCCACGCAGCCTCACAAGATGAAACATATCGACAATCATAGTACATCTTCACCTCGTCAACCAGCCTGCTAGATGACTCAGCTCCATATGACTCGTAAAAGGTGGCGGTGACGCGATCATTTCCATTGTTCACGTACTTGAACAAATATTTGATGGACCTCGACTGGTTGCACCATTCCATATTTATATGTGCGCCGTACTTAAGGAGCAATTTTCTATTATGAGGCACAACATATCTGTTATCTAAAGGAATGTCGTTCTTTTCTATGGTCCTGCCATTATCACGACGCCTGTACCGTGGATAGACTTCCTCATCCAGGGTCTTCGTTTCAGAGAACTTCTTTGGAAAATGCTTTGTGCAACAATCATTAACCATACACGGAGATTGTGGGCGGACAGTTCCGTAAGGGTCGTCCATCATATGATCTCTAACGGCAGCATAGTATAATGGATCGGTGGCCTCATCGGGTATTTCGGCAGATATTATTTTGTCTATGCCATCAGTGGTCTGAATTTTGTGTTCTTTGGCCAAGAATATCAATATATGGGCATGTGGAAGTCCACGTTTTTGGAATTCAATCGTATATATAGCTGCAAAAAAAAAAGAATAAAAAACCAATACAATGAACACAAAGTATTATAAGTTTAAATAAATTAAATTAACAAATATTAAGTACCTGCTTTCACGTCACCAAACATCTTGTTATGTCGGACATCCCTCATCAAAGCATCCAACTTAGCCTTAAATACCCGACATATTATATTAGGACGATCCTCGGGTTTGAGATTCTTGTTATCGAGAAAACGACCGATTTCTGACCACTTAGGGTTGCAAGTGAAGGTTATGAATATATCAGGATAACCGGTCCACCGACATATGGCCATCGCGTCCTGATAGTTCTCAATCATACATCTTGCGCCACCCGTAAAGGACGAAAGCAGTATAATCCGTTTGCCTTGAGAACCAGGATCGGTGTCTCCTCGCAACACAACATCTTTAAGACGGCTGTACAATTCGGTTATGAGTTTCGTTTGGTTAAATCGGATATATCTTAGCCGAGCTCCTTCAACCATTGTATACGCGTCCACAACGAACTGCTGATACAACCTCCGAGCCGAGAGTATGGAAGACACTTCATTGTCACGGTCGTGCATTCGATATTTGAAAAACTCCAGCGAACTGATGAATTTCCTCGACCTCTATATAATCGGTTTTAGGACTGAAAATGGAATGTCCTCCCTGTAACCATCCTTGCCATATAGAAAAAGAATAGGATAATGGAGAGCCAAGTAGGAAGCGTTCAACTCGTTGATACGCTGCAAACGTCCACTCCGATTTTCTACTATAATATCACGGCTGCCTATAGCATCATCGAAATCGCCAACAACCAACGCTGCAACTTCAGAAGTGGACGGTAAATTATAACGCCGACCATCCTTATTCCTTCTTCCAATAAGTCGCATCTTAACTTCGCGATGCTCGGGTTGGTTCAACCTCTCCCGCGCCATTCTAAACGACTTAACCAAAACATTGTAATGATCGAGCGTCACTTTCAAACCAAGAACTACTTCACCATCAAGATTATTTCTTTCCACACCACTCCTAAAAAGGAAAAAAAAAAATAATTGCAATTTTAATTATCAAATAAAATGTATAAAAGTAATATTACGATGTAAGCCATAAATTTTAATGACGAAATATAATATATATACCTCACAGATGATAGTCTGTTCGATATTTTATTCTCTGTGTCATAGATGTACAATTGAGCAAATTTGGGAGTAGCAGCATGGTCGGGTAATAAACTACCCATTAAATGGTAGTTTTGACCGTGCAAACGGAATACTGGCGGGCCGCTGCCGTTGTTGATGTTGTTATCAATCTTCCCTCCCATGGATGTAAAACAAAACATGTTATTGTAGGACCGACTGTTTTCTTGAAAGTGCTTGCTTCGGGGACTTGTGCCAAAAATCAGCTCACACATAAATGGCGGAGGAATGTAAACAGGTGGAAGTTCGATGAATCCGTGGTTGCAACAGATAGAGTACTTTGGAACTGTGGGTTTAGATGGCTTTCCCAGTCGCTCGGCGTACCAAAATATGGCACCACAGTGAAGGCAACGGTACGATGGATCGCCAATATCCCAGCATTCTGGAAATTTATAATAATTAAGAATTTAACAAATAGATTAAAAAATAATTATCTATATATCATACAAAGTATTGGCAATATATTTTTTTTAAAAAAAAAATGGGAAAATGATATTATAATATTCGGTAAACATTAGTAAATAATTACCGTTGTTGATGGATGAGCTGGAAGAACCAACAGATGTAGATGAGCCTTGGGTATCAATGGGCCTTCGAGAAATATTTTGACTACGGACAAAAGCAGACAAAACATCATCATATATGGGTGGAGGGGCTGAGTTCCTCGGACGTCCGCCTACATTCGTCCGAGGTGGCAAGTTTAATGACGAAACTGCAAAACAATTGATTGTTATTATAAACAACCAAAATAAATATATAAATGTAAATGAGAAACTTTTTTTTAATTAATGAATTAATTAGATAATTTGATAAGCAATTAGAAATACCATTTGTGGGGGGGGGGTGGTAATTCGCGCTTCGGACGACCGCCTACGTTGATCCGAGGTGGAAAATTTGACGAATGCACTGCGTGAAAAAAAAAATTATAATATTAATAGGTATTATATCATTATTTATTTTGATTAAATGATATATACTTTTTTTCAAAGTCATAAAACTTAAATTATAAATCTGATAATTAAATTAATTTACCATTTGTTAGGGGAGTTAATGCGAGCCTCGGACGGCCGCCTACATTCTTTCGAGGTGGCAAGTTTAGCGACGAAACTGCAAAATTTTAAATTACAACTGAAAAAAATAAATTAATAAAATATTATAATCTTAATGTCTAGAAGTAAATATAAAATTTTTTATATATAAAAAAATTAAATAATAATTGATAGTTTATAAAATTACCATTGCAGACATTGTTAACCAGCGTTCTCGGGGGGCACGTTTTCATGATTGTCCATTGTAAGATCAATCAAATCGACTAAAGAAAATACATACCAGTTTCTTAAGTTATAGAATGCGAATTATAAGTGACAGCTGATCCTTGAGACGAAGGTGTTGATGTAGGCATATCAAATAAGGTACCTACAATAATTAAATTAATAAAGTTTAATTATGAGTTGCAACACATTTTTTAAAAGTTCCAGACACAACATATAAATTATTTTTATTATAATTTTTAATATTTAAAATATTTGTGACAAAAGATAAATGACATCAATCACATTTTCATGAAAGTTTATGATACAAAACATAATATTATTTGTATTGAACTCTTTCATTAAATCAGTACAAATTCACAAACATATTTATTTTTTGAACTATACATAAATTAGGTCAATTTTGTATCACATATTTTTTTAATATATATTGTATTAAATTTTTTTAAGTATTGTAATTATAAAATATTAGTATTCATTTTTAAATAACAAACTAATTGAGTTATTTATACATAATCATTATTGGGCCAATATTATTGTAGGCTCGCATTAGTTAGATTGGGTCTGTATTTATACATAATGTCATTGGACCAGCCTTTTTAAGAAACAAATTTAATCAGCATTACTGTAAGGGCAAAAATGGAATTTCACGCGCAATGCTGAACAGATTTCGGACGCGTGTCCTAGACGGGTGGCAACACCATTTAAATAGCCGAAATCCTAACACCTGCTGCCATTTCGCCATTTCTATCGCCTCCTTATCTTCTGTCTCTGCCGTTTCTCTCTCTCTCTCTCTCTCTCTCTCTATCTCATTTATTCTCTCTACATTCATGTTGGGTTATTTTTCGCTGATAATTTTGCCAAATCCGATGTTTCTCCGGCGATTCTTTTCTGATTTTGAAATCCGATAGCGAAAAAACACCTAAGATATCAATTTTTTCGATTGAAAAGAGAGACGAAAAGTAAAATTGTCCCGATTTTGAAAATCCGATATACAGATTCATTGTATATCGGTACAAATCGGGCGATTACATGATAATATTTGCAGATCTACTTTTTTTTTTGTCAAATTTTTTTGTTTTAAACATTTTTTGGTTTTAAAATCGGGCTGGCATAACAGATCTATAGCGATATCCTGTGTTTTTGGTTTGATTACGTTATAGATCTAGATGATATACAAATTCCGATTTTCTAAATTTTTTAAACATTTTTCTTTTATTTAAATCGTAATTAGGTAGCAGATTAGGGTTAGCTTCTAGTCTTTACTTTTTTTGTCAATTTTTTTTTTTTGTTTTAAACATTTTTTGTGTTAAAATCGGCTAGCATAACAAATCTATAGAGATACCTATTGTTTGGGTTGATTACGTTATAGATCTAGATGATATACAAATTTTTGACTTTTTTAAAATTTTTTAAACATTTTTCTTGTATTTAAATCGTAATTAGGTAACAGATTAGGTTTAGCTTCTAATCTTTACTTTTTTTTGTCAATTTTTTTTAACATTTTTTATGTTAAAATCGGGCTGGCATAACAGATCTATAGAGGTATCTGTTGTTTTGGTTTTATTAGTTATAGATCTGGATGATATACAAATTTCCAATTTTTTGAAATTTTTTTAAACATTTTTCTTGTATTTAATTCGTAATTAGGTAACAGATTTGTCCTTCACTTTAGTTTTTTTGTGTTTATTTAATTTTTAATTTTTTATTTTTCAATTTTTATAATAGATCTGTAAAGATATATACTATTCTTATGTTATTTTTAATCAAATAAGGCCGTTTCATTTCACTTTTATGTTTAAATTTCTTTTCATATTTCACCTTGTGTTCCTCATTTTCGAACCGCAAACATCAAACTAAGGTAATATATAATTTCATAACATTCTTGTGTTTTAAAGTATACACATTAGTCTAAATAGGTTCAAATGAATGTAATGACAAATTGTTTTCGGATACAAAAGGTGTTCTAACAACTATTATAATCTTTTTTCAGGTATAATCAATTGAATAAGAACCGACCAGAGTGTAAACAGAAGAGATAAGTTTGATTTTAGCATATCCTTCTTGAATATTTTTTACATCACTTGCCAAATATGATATGTTCTAACATTTGTTATTTTGTTTTGCATACAGAGAGCATATATTGTAACGGATTAAGTAATTTTCGCTATAAAACGCGAGAATGAAAGACATACAGAGATAAGTGTCTTGTCCTATTTCCTTTTAAAGATTGTTCATATTTGTGATGATATATTTACAATATCTAATGTTTCTCATTATTGTTTTGCAGATAAATCCATCTCACATAACAAAAGTACTTGCAGTGGGCTGTACAATGTCAGAACAAAACACATATACATTTGTAAAACACGGTAAAAGCAGAAAAAAGTAATAACCTTCTGGATATATTTCATATTAAACATAGGACACAAATGTTATTGTGTACCATATGGTGGAGAAACATCTTCCTTTTGACGTTTGTTTCCAATTATTTTGTAGCCGGTCAACCTCTTCATGCTGTTGTGATTTTGGGTTTAAAAAAACTGAATAGGATGTATGTTTAGGGAAACTGAATATATCTCATGTGACTAAAAAAACTGAATATGGTCGTAGAATGGCATAAAACTGATTGATAGACAGACTGGTCTAAAAAAACTGAATAGGATGTTTGTTTAGGGAAATTGAATATATCTCATGTGACTAAAAAAACTGAATCTGGTGGTAGAATGGCGTAGAACAGAATAATAGAAACATTTGACCAAAGTGAAGGACAATAGGATGTATGTTTAGGGGAACTAAGAATGAATTAGTGATTAAGGGGTTTATATAAAAAAATTTAGTAATTATAAGACCGGATTAAATGAATTTTTATGAGTTAATGTAATAATTGCTGATTGATATGATATATTTTTCCTAATGAACATATTCTACAACCGGATTAATTGATTTTTAGTTAATGTGAGTCAACAAATGATCGGTTTTATAGCATGATTTATGCCAAATTGATTTCGTGTTATTAATGCCATTAATTATTTGTTATTTTACTAATTATATAGATTTAATGCCTTAAATGAAAAATGAATTTAATGCATTTGCAGATTTTGACTTCAAATCTATGTAATTGATTTATTTTTTGTTATTAACTAGTACGTACCCCGTGCGATGCATGGAACATAGATATTAAATGAGTTATTTTAACAGTCTTGTCCGTTTAAATCTTAAAAGTAATAGTGTTATTATCTATTTTCTCCCTCTTTTGATCAACTTTATGTCTAAAAAATAATAAGGTTATAAGTTTTTTTTCATATCTTTTAACCAGCATTGTTTTTTAGCCAGAACTTAAATATGAGTATGTTAGGGCTAGCTTGTAAAATAATTAATATATTATCTCACTAAAATATTTATACTAATAAAACTTTAATTTCAGTATATAAATTTATCCATTGATATAAAAAAAAAAAGTAACAGCTTTATTTATTCTTGTTCATCATATAATATTTAATTATTATTTTAGTATATAATAAAAAAGAATAGTGTTAAATAGTTTTTTTTAACACAAAGATAATATTAAAAAATATAAATATCTATACAAATATACGAACCAAGTTTTTTTAATAGTTTTTTATAAGTTTTATAAAAATATATTATAATTTGTTAGTGTATTATTCAAAATCGTAATATTGATTTGTAGTTTTTAGAAACAGAATTTTGATTGTTTTTGCTCACCCCATTTTATGGGATTTTTTTATGTCAAGATAAGAAGGATTAAAAACAATATGTAAAATAGGAAACTTGATTAAAATTATAAATGCATTAATTACTACTTGATAAAATTAGAAGTTCATTAATTAAAGTTGACTTTTCTACCTACTATATTTAGTAAATAGGTTTCCTTTTAATATAAGTATAGATGCCATTAGTTAATTTCTATTTTGTTAATTATATAGATTTAATGACTTAAAAAAATGTTTAATGCATTTACAGATTTTGACTTAAATTGATCAATTTTGACATACTGTCAGATTTTATGAATGGTATATTTATTTGAATGATTGAATGATTTTGTTAAAACTGAGTATGATAAAACCAAAGAGTTTTATGTGATATTGTTGGTATATGATTGAATGACTGAATGATTGATTATGTTAAAACTGAGTATGACAAAACCAAATAGTTTTATATGATTGAATGATTAGGTTTAGAGATTTTTAAATGAGAATTAATGAAGTTGGTAAATGATAAAAACTGAGGTTGTTAATACTGTAGTGACATTCTGGAGTATTTTTCTGAAATTGGTCTATGTTTTTCTTTTGACCGAGTATATGCTTTTCTATGGACTGAGTATATGTTTTCTGAAATTGGTCTATGTTTTTATTTGTATTGAGTATAACTGTCAGTTTGTGTTTGTCATTGTACCTTTTTTTTTTTTGCTTTTGTTTTTCCCTTAACTCCCGTGTTTCTCTTTTTCTACTGAACTGGAACTTGTTTGTTTTGTGGATGCCAAGATTTTGTGTTTCTATTATGCTGCATCAAAATGATCATGCTTTTTTTTATTGAATGTTTCTGAATTGTTGGTGAAATAAGTTATATCCTTTTCAATTGGTTCATTGCTTATTGGTTATTCAAGGAAATGCATGATTGGAATGATTCAAATGCCCAGTTTCTGTTTTGGCTGGTTAGAAATTAGTTTGAATAGTAACAACTGAATATTTTGTTAGATTACTGAATCTAATATAAACCATTTGAATTGAAAACACATAATTCAGAATTAAAACTAAAATTTTATTCAGCCTTAAAGGCAGTCAACATAATTCCTAAATAGCTAACAGATTCATAAAGGTAGTCAAATCTCATAAATAGCCAACAGTATTCATCCTTAGAATTAGCTATTAAATCGCTTCAATCTTTATTTTCTTCTTTCCTTTGATGTCTTCTTCAATGCTTGAACCTTCCTCAGAAACCTTTCTCTTTGGTTCTCTATTATATGAATCATTCACAGGTTCAACTCTTGGCTTGTGTGAACTGTTAAGTTCATCTTCTTGCTCATAATCAGATTCCTGTTGAATAAGTAAAGATAATTATATCCTTCTAAATAAATAAATAATATAGTTGTTAATGTTAAAACATATTTTAAATAATTTAACATTTACTTGTGGAGCATTTGCTAAAACACCAAATCTATAAACTAATATTGGATCAGCTGTGATTTTGGAAACCGTGAATGCTCCATTGTAAGGCCTTAATTGGTCCTTTTTCTTTCCAACTTTGAACTAAAGGTCTTTGCCCATCAAAGCTGACAGTTCTGGCGGCAAGACCGACCCATCTTCATGCTGCGATTAATTTTTTTATTAAATATAAACATCTCTTATAACTGTATAAAAATATTAATATATTTAGAGAATACTATAATTCAAACCTTCAACATTTCTTGAACAACTTTTTCACATCCTTTTCCAATGAGTTCATTTGCTACTTTGTCCCAGCAAAGAACTTGCATAATTCCGGTGTCGTCAATAATGAACATGTGCAGTTTGTACCTTTAATTATGTTAAAAAATTAATAAAAACCTAAACCATAATAATTTTGAAAAAAAGATAATTTACTCAAATAAAGAATGAATACCGATTATTTGCAAATGGTACGTCCTCGTTGCAATGGAAGCACCAGAAATTCGCCCCTTTCTGTTCGACCTTCCTAACATAGGTCGTGCATGAATTGTAATACCACCTTAGATCAACATCAAGGATCGTCCCATAGATCCAAGACATAGTCGGCTGAATAAAAATATTAGAACAAATATTAATATAAGCAAAAGTGATAATGTGTGTGTTTAAAAAGTCAAAAGTTTGAAGACAATTGCCTCATTCAAAGCATGAAATTCTTCAATAGTTTCAATTGGGGCCGAACCCGATTGCAAGTCATCGCATACACTCGACATGAAAGACCTAACATATTGGCTAAGTAATTCATTTGAGCGTTTGTGGGACTTGTACCTAAGTAAACAAAAACAAATTAATGATATAAAATACGTATATGTATACTAAACAATCTGTTTTTAATAAATTTTTGAACAATTACCTCTCTTTGAACTTGATTATTTCGGGTACATTAGATTTAGCAATCATTTTGGTTGCATCGTAAGCATTTGCAATTCTCACAGACCCTATAAAATTATTCAAAAATATTATTTTATAGATGTTAAAAAAAAGATACTAAAACGTATTAAAACTAATTTAAAAAATATATGCCATCATTTATGGATTTCGCTCGGCACATTTGAAGTATTATAACTTTGTCGTCGGCCGCAGTGGAATGCTTCATTGCCTCAAGTAAAACATCCACGTAGTCCTCCCATAAGGTGCAAAGCAATTGGCAACCCCTAAAATAATCAAAAATAAAAAAAAAAATACAAAGTTTTTATTAATATTTAGATAATAAAGATTAATATTAATATTCGGTCGTTTACACTTACCGAACATCTTCGAGAAGAATGTCAATAAATCTCTTTTCTACCCCTCTCGACATTGCTTTCTGAACGCTTTGAAAGAAAACAACTCGACCAATGACATCTAGAAATCAATATGAACGTACCATTAAACATAGATTAGTGTAATAAAAGTTAATAAAAAATTATAAAGTATAAAAATGTTACCAATTAGCCTTGAGGAGTCGATGCAAGATGGATCAGCCAGATCACCGAACTCCTTGAAATTATACATGAACCTTGGGTAGTCTTCATCGTGGACATCCTTAATTTCAGTTTCTTCATTGAACAAAAGCTGCTCACTTTTTGGGGTTGTTTTGAACAGTTTTTATCGGTTTCGACTATGAAATGCTTGATTCCATATGTTTTTTCCTTGACCATTGATCAACGGTCCGAAATTTTCAACCAAGATATCTGGTGCGGAAGCATAGATTCGCTCGCCCTGAAAAATAAAATTAAAAATCATGTATTGGTGTATAAAAAAAAGTAAGTAAAAAACAGAGTATACGTAAAAAACACGATGTCTACCTTGACATCATGAAAAATAAATTCCAAGCTTGACTCTCTTTTTTTTGGATAAAACCTAACCAATCTCAAAATTGTTGTTTTGTTTTTGTTCTTGGCAAGGTAAGTGAGATTATCAAAGTAGGAAGACATTTTTGAAGATGAATTTTCTGTGACTAAATTCCGAAATGAGGGAAATAATTGTTTGTGAAATGGAGTGATTAGAAATGAAAAATGTTTTAGTATTTATAGGTCACAAAAAACGTGTTTATCTCCATTTTAGCTGAAATATAATTGTGATAGTCAAAATTATTTCTTTCATTCAGTTTGATGATTAATTTGGTTATAAATATTTATTTAATTACAATATCCCATGAGATACAAAAACGTGCATCTCCAGAAGTTATGCTGAAAAATAACTTTACCTTGGCCATCTTGATTTAATTTCATCAAATTCACATTTAATTTGTGTATAAATTATATTTAAATTCAAAATTCCATGATTGATTGATACCAATAATTGCAATTTCACCAAAATAATGAATGAGAATCTGTTTTTTTTTTATATTTGTATTTTTTGATATTTATTTTTCAATTTTCCCTCCATATTTTAATTAATTGCCTTAATTTCAGAATTATTTTGTACATATATTGCACGTTTTTATGCGATATCATTAATGTTTTTTTTTCCTTTTCTATATTGCAGGAATTATAAACAATTATGGAACTGGAATATTCCATTTTTAATTTTATTTACTACATTTTAGATCAGAAATGAAACATGTAAATTTTTTTGTGTATTTTAAATCATTTTTGTTTTTCCTTTTTTTTTGGTAAAAATTATGCTTAAAAGATATGAAATCAGATTAAAGACTGTCAAAAGATATGAAATCAAATTTTCAAAAATATATATCTTATTTGATTATGGAAAGCAATTAAAAGTAGGATTAATATCATTAACCTAATTAATATAGGAGAATTAATAGAAAAGTAACCGAAATTGGAGGGAAAAGGGATTAGTGACAGCTAGGTAAAATTAAATAGGTTTTATTTATGAGGTTTTATTAAATGATTAGCTAGCAAGTATA